TTCTTTAAAAAATGAACTAACTGGTGGCTTCGTCACTACAGTCCATATTTCTGGAGACCAAAAAGACTTACATAGGTGTGTAAATTTTACTAAGCGTGAAATTTTATGACGAACATTCTTGATGCAATTAAAAGTTGAATATAAACCACTATAAAAAAATTTGTATTCTTCCACACGGTATAGTAGTCATATCGAAAACCTAGCTAGAGAGGGTGGCAGACACGTGTATGGGTCTCTTTGGAGGTAAAGTCTAAAGGGGGTCCCCCCATACTGCAAACGACAACAAAATTGTGTTCGTGAGAGAAAATTCGAAGGTCTCCCTCGGCCCACACACGTCCAAAAAAAGGCATGAATTGCTCGGCTCACATGGCCCCGTCGTCCTATTTAGTGTTGCCTTCATTTATAGAGCATAGCCTTCAGCCCTCTCCCATCATTCATCATCTCTCTCAATTCTGGTAGCAGACTTTCAACGAATCATTCTTTCTCTGGGTTTCTTTGGCAATTTTTGTGTTGCCTTTGCCTTTGTACAGGTAACATTATTTGTACTTGCTAGCAAGATTGGAAACTACCATACATTATGAATAATTTTCATGGCCTGAGAGGTTATTCTTCTTCATCTAAGATGAAGACGATGAAGATGAGGAGGCGGAGGCAGGCGGTGGGAGGTCGTGGCAGAGGAGGCATGTCGATGGTGCAAGTGAAGGTGAAGAAGCTACAAATGTTGATTCCAGGAGGGAGAGGGTTGAAGGCGGACCGGCTTTTTCTTCAAACCGCGGATTATATACTTCAGCTGAGGTTGCAACTTAATGTTTTGCAAGCGCTTTCCAAGATTTACAAGCTATGAGATGAGTCTACTTGTGAATTTGTGATGCCATGCATTTCGATCTTAATCGGTTTTATTAAATTATGTATGATGGTAATTAAATTTGTGTTCTTTCTCCTAATCCTTATAACTATATATTAATTTTCCTCCATGCCTGTTATATATATGTATGGTCTTGATCGAATGCCATTTGGTTCCATATATTGATTTTTTGAAGTAGCTAGGATATTTTCTAGATAATTATCGAATTTCGTTTCTTCTGTTCTATTGCTGGCCGCAGCTTGTAACATTTCTAGCTAGGGTTTTTCTTTTTAAGATCCTGAGACTTTATTCTAATTACCACGAACTGATGATCCACCTCGCTTCGAATTTAACATAGATTTCCCTGCACGCAATGCTGCAGGTTTGATGTTTAGGCCAATTAAATCAAAATTTGGAGAGATATATAATTTTCTCATTAAGGGAGGGAGTCTAGCTACCCCAGCTTATTTACTGCGTAATCTCTCGTATGCAACGTACACTAGTGGAAAAATTGGCAAAGCCTGCAGAATTCAACATTTCAATATACACTGTGTTTGTTGCTCAATAGGCATAGATATCATACATGTTAGAATATTCCGATTGTATTGTATCCTGAATAATACGTCTGATACCACCAAAGAGGAACCCACAGATAATCTGCAGCGATTTAATAAGTATAAGCCATAGGTAATCTATGTCTGCGGCGAATAAGGCTGAACTGAATCCGAGTTGAATTCCAGTAGATTGAAACCCACGATTTTGGAATATTTGTTTTCATCCTTTTCGTAGCTCTCTTTCAAAAATAATATGGGAACCCCAAATCAACTTAATAATTTACATGCTTGGAAGGCTTAAATGATACTGCACTATCATTGCTGCTATGAAGAGTTTGAGCAATTTTTTGAGTGGAACTCGATGGGCGTTTTGAGCGCTTGGATAAGTGAAAATTTAGTGTTACATGTAAGATTTTTTATTTACTACGATTTGGCTAACCTGGACAAGTTTGAGGTTAAATCACAACAACAACGCAATGAAAAGACAGAGAGATGTTGAGGCTATTTTTTGTTCCCTAGACAACAAGTCACTTAGAAGAGTAAACGAACCCAGCATTATATTTATGAATCTTATGAAAGAAACTTCTAAAGCAGTTGGGAAGTTAGTGTCTCTATTTTGGTTGTAATATCCACCACAATTCCTACATTAATTCCTAACTTGGCTTCCATAAGATCAATTATTTTTTGGAACATCGGCTGAAATGATTGGAGATCAAATCTCAATTGTTGAACTGATTAAAATCAAACATAGACGACGTATTCATCGCATATCAACGAGCTGGTTGTAAAAAATTGATGACATTGCGAACAAATTTTGACGACAGATTGAACTCTAATCATTTTCAGCAAGTAGGATGGGAAAATTGATCATGTGGCCAATTAATTCCCATTATTTTCTATTAACACAACATTCTTAATGAAATTTATAAGGAGGGGCTTCAAGCTTTGGATGCAAGAGGCCAAATATACTGCAACTAACCTAATCTACATGTATTTTTAACTGATCGACGCAAATTAATTTAAAGTATGTTAGGGTGGAAAATAAAACATTCCTAAAGTGGCCAGCCATGTCTGTAAGGAGCTTTACTTCTACACCATTTGGTGTGTATCTAATCTCTTCATGCAGAATATGTGCTCTACAAAATCTGTGTAACAAAGTAACTCAAGATGAAAAGAAAAAAGTTCCAGTAGGTCACATAAAGTACTCAGTTTCATGGTTTGTACCAGTTAAACAAGTGCTTGGCAGAAAAGATACAACTGCCAGACCAAAGAACGTGGTATTCCATGGCCTACCATCCGAGCTTCGTCATTAACTTCCAGCAATATGTGTACAGAACTGAATTCATTGGTTTTCAGATATATACAAGCAACTTCATCTTTCAGTTAGACATAAAACGTAGACCAGGCTTGAGCTTTTGTACATGATTCTAATAATTGGCATGAGGTCCACATGGAGAATTTTTTTTTGGCGTGACGGTCGAATCACTATGTGATTTTACTAATGCACGTGTTATAATATGAATGAGTGAATCAACATATGGCTAAAGGAGGATCAAAATCAATCAATTGGAGAGTGGAGATAACACTCAAATAATCACTTTCCAATCAAAGATAATACCAACTCCGTTGATATGCAATCTCTACGCCAATAATAATTGGTGATAATTCTGCAAAAAAAGAGAGTTGTGAACACCAATGCATTGGCGAAAGCCACTAAAAAACTAACCATGGCAATCCCTGAAAACTCCTCCACATGCAACAGAACCAAGATTTCCTTTAGACAAACCATCTATATTAAGTTAAAATCCAAGTAAACCAAGGAGGAGACCAAATCACATGAAGAATAGTAGGCGCCTTACGAGGAATAGGTCGGATTCTCGGAGAAGAAATGATACAAGTGTCGAAACCTTGAAAGTAACCAAAAACAAACTCGATGTACATTTAATAACACAAGTGATTTTCTAATACTACATAAATCATACTTAAAAACTGTCATTTCATCAATGAAGAGGAATCATTTGCGCCTCTCTATATCTCTCTACATTTACATGTGAGATATCATCAAGCACTCAAATGTATGGGTTTTAATTTTGCGTCTATTTGATTAATTAGTGCGCAGATGCTAATTTCGACAGCACAGAAAATGGAAAATAGGGCAAATATATACATGCAAAAACAATATTAGGTGTCAATTGAAGAAGATGGAGCCGGTTGAAATATCAAGAGATCTTTGACTTACAACACCCATTGGCCATTTTATCAAGTGTCTGCAACAGCTGGCTTCTCTGCTTGTTTTATCCCGTCAGTTTTGGAGGTATATATAGGGAGGACAGTGATTGTGATTTAGCAGCCAGGTCCTATAGACTCTTGTTTGATTTCTTCGGAATAATACTTCAGAATTTATTAGTGAGTACTTACTTTTTTTATTTTGTTCAATAATATTAACGAAATTTTATTTGAATTCATATGCTTTCTTCTTTATCCAACTTAAATTTTAAACGTTAATTATATTTTTTTACTCTATTGTATAATTATCATAAAATATAAGATGAAATTAAAAATAAAAATAAAAATTATAATTAAACCCACACCCTATAATTAAAACTTACTGTCACTCCTTGTTTATCTCATATATATTACAGCTAAAACTCTAATAGCTCTTATAGAGGAAAAACAAGCTTTACGAAAAAGATCAAATAAGGAAATCTTCCATCAGCATTGGCCTCTGCTACGTTGGGTCTTCGAAAACCCATTTGGAAATTTGAAACTTTACGAAAAAGATCAAATAAAGATGCATTGAAACAATTGATGGAAAAAAAAAAAAAAAAAAAAAAACATAAAACTCTATTTCTAGAGAGCAAAAAATTCACTAATTAGTACCTAAATATTATCTTTCAGACAGTTTATTTATTGCTTGGTTTTGTACAATAAGCACTGATTTGTTAGATGCATGATTTTGCTCATTTCAAATTGAAAAAGCTATTAATTAGAAAGATACCTAGTTACGTCTTTCTAGTTGATCTGATACTTGATTGTTCGATTACTAATTTTAATTTGTCACCCACTAATGTCTTTTGTTTCTTTACGTGTTTTAATGTGCAGGGAAGTCGAAAATCAGAATAATATCAATTCATTGTATACCTCCATCATAATAGAAGTATAAACTAAAGTCACACAATGTGATTTACATTCAACTAGCATAGATAACGAATTTGACATAAATTTATTCGAATCAAATCAGACAATAGGCAGGTGCATCTAGTGATTGGGCTTTTGAGCCCCATTTCAACTTGCAAGATCTTCAAATTGGACTATCAAAAGTCCATTGACCAAATAATTTTGGACCCACAAAGAAATGGGCACCATCCAATCACAATGGTTGGTAAAAAAGCCAACACAGAGGCAGGGATGCCAAACTTGCACAGTAAAATCGGCAACAAAATCCAAATATCATGTACCAGAAAATTGGCAAAAATCTAAAGAAAACTGGGTCCTTCCATGATTGACACGTACGAGGTCACTGTTCTTATATTTCCAACTGACAATTTTACCCTCGGACTGGCTCCTTTTGTTGCCGCTAACCACACTACCTTCCAACATAAATAAATTAAAACCCCTCCTCAAATCTCAATGTACCCCCCCCCAAATCATATTATTTAGGGTTTTTTATTTTATTTTTCATCACCTGCAACACTGTCCAAGTCCAAGACAAGAAGCACATGTCAAAGACTCAAATGGGCTCCGTTAATGGCAGATTTTCCAGTTTTTCAGGTCGGTAAACTGCAAACTGGACAGCTCCTGGCTTCTTTTTTATTTTTAATTTTATGTTCTTCAACTTCAACTCCAGTATTTTGGTTGCATTTCTGAACTGAAAATTGAGAAAACACAGAGGTGGTGGTGGTTCTAGAACCAGTGGCAGTAGGTAGACTTCTGAATGGGTCAAAGTTTTTATTTTTCTGCACATTGTTGACTAAATCTGAATTGGGTTTGTTGATATTACAAGAAATAGTGTGCCAGTTGCTTGTTGTGTTGCTTACTTCGAAGTATGAGTTGGGTTTGATCTGAATGCAAGCAAGGAATCTGATTCTCTTGGTTTTTACAAAAAGGTGAGAAAGTGTAGGGTGTTTGGTTTCTGAGAAAATCCTAGAATTTGATGGTGAATTTAGTATGCCACTACCCTAAAATGTCTTGGAATCAAGCTCAAATCAGAGAAAGGACTTTGCTTTCCTCTCCAACGTCATCATCCTCTGGGGGTAAAATTAGCCCATCGGTTCTTTTTATCATAATTGTTCTAGCTGTTATATTTTTCGTATCCGGAATCATCCACCTGCTTGTTAGATTTCTCACAAAGCATAGATCTTCATCCATATCTGAATCCAACAGATACCCAGAAATGCCTGGCTCTGAAGATTTCCAGAGACAATTACAGCAGCTCTTCCACCTTCACGATTCCGGCTTAGATCAAGCTTTCATTGATGCTCTCCCTGTGTTCCTTTACAAAGAGATAAAGGGTTTGAAAGAACCATTTGATTGTCCAGTTTGTCTCTGTGAGTTTTGTGAGAAGGATCAGCTGAGATTGCTCCCAGCTTGCAGTCATGCTTTTCACATTGATTGCATCGACACATGGTTGCTGTCTAATTCGACTTGCCCTCTTTGTAGAGGAACCCTCTACACGCCAGGGGTTGCTATCGAAAATCCGGTTTTCGATTTTGATGATCTGATCGAACAAGATGGTTCTTTGGGAAATGGAGGAAATGGGGTTGGTCAAAAGTCTGCAGAGAATGAGATTGCTGGTGAGAAGAAGTTGTTTTCTGTGAGACTAGGGAAATTTAGAAGCACAAATGAGGAGGGAGGTGGTGGTGGAGGAGGAGGAGGAGGAGGAGAGAGAGTAGAGGGAGAAACCAGCAGCAGCAATTTGGATGCAAGGAGATGTTACTCCATGGGATCGTACCAATATGTGGTTGCAGATTTGGAGTTGCAGGTGGCTTTGAGGCCCAAAAGGGCAGGTGATAGTGTGAGGCTTGTGAGAGGGAGAGGTGGACAAAATGGGAATTCTACTAATTACAGTGTTGGAGGTGGAGATGCTGAAGGGAAGAAAATTAACAGTGCAAGTAAAGGTGAAAGCTTTTCTGTGTCTAAGATTTGGATGTGGCCCAAGAAGGGTAAATTTCCAAATTCTGCAGAAACCCATGTGGGTAATTCCTCTGTTACTGTGGGTTTGCCATGGAGTGATAGGTCTCAGGGTGCATGATGAACTTTCTCACTGTAATATGTATTTTTCTTTTCCATATATCAATAATATCTACTTTTACATTTTTTTTGTTCAAAAAAGGAGTCTTGGCTTTTGCTTTTCTTCCAAAATTTCATGCCTTCACTGCCGTGCTGCTGCAGAAGCACTTTATCTTTTCAGTAAAATTCGATGCAGATGTGAGACTTTGAGAAATTCTTTTACTTTACCTTAAACTTTAGCCTTATGCTGGGGTTCATTTTAGCATTTTCTTGTAGCACTCGTTGCATGGAAAGATGGGGATGTATACTCTCATCATGTGACCGCTGGAAGGGATATATTCCTATCACAGCCAGGTATTTCTCGTAACGTTGATAATGCATTGTAAAAATGTGAAACCCTACCTTCCAAGTTCCATGCATTTGAAACGGATAAGTATTGTCTGCTCTTGCACTTTCGGTGTCTTTCTGTTTTATATGGTCACGGTTAAGTCATGTCAATATTTTATATTGTTTTTTTTATAGAACTAATAAGACAAAAATGAATAGTAATATAAAATGTTGACATGGCTTAACTGTGATCACACAAACAAGAGGGCACGAGAGGACACCGAAAGTGGGAGGGCTGAGAATCCTTGTCTATTTGAAACAGTCATTTCTTCCAAAGTATGGGGTCTTATCAAACCATGCGATGTCTCTATACACAGAAAAAGAAAAAGGGAAAAGAAGAAGCCGAAGCCTTTTTACATGCATTACTTGGTTTGTAGGAAATATAAAGGGAATTCATATCAAAAGTGTTGGTTTTTGGCTGCTTTGGGTGTCTCTAGAATATATTTCTTTTTCCTTCTTTTATGGAAAATTCCATTCTTTTCTCTTCTTTAGATCCAGCTGTGAAATCTTTTTGTAAGAAGGATATATGGTTTGTTTAGAAGTGTTTTTATAGTAACTGAAACTGCTTTTATAAATAAATTTAAAAAAAAAAAAGGATTCTAAAAGCACTTGAACTACTTTTTCAAAAATCACTTGTATTTCTATTAAGAATTGATTCAAAAGATATTTTTATTAATAATTTTAAAAACACTTTCAAACGAGATGATAGATATAATAGTGATGATAGTGGTGGTGGGATCGTGAAAAAGGGGTATGAGGGACTCTTGTGGTTTTGATGACCGATGAAGGTGTGCCTGCTAGGATTGAAACGTTGACAAGAACAAGTGAAGGGTGGGGTCATAAACCATAATGTGCTAAGACGAAGTTCACACTTATTCGTGGGTTGATCTTGGCCGTTCTTGGTTTTCGTTTTTTACAAATATGAACGGTTAAGATCAACTCACACAGTTGCGATTGATCTTAATATTTTCTTGTGCCCTTCTACGAATCTAACAATGCGACCATCCTTAGGGAAGTCTTGTACCATTAAACAATGGGAACTTTAATGAAAAATTTCATGTACTGTTCAGTTTAACGAAAAACTATATTTTTATATTGAAAAGTCAATCTTGGTACTATTCGTTTTACCCTTTATTTTGTCTTTATCGTTAAAACTCAAAATTTTTAAACATTTTTCATTAGTTTTCCTTTCAACAATTTAGGCTTAACCATTGCTTGTTTTTTCCTAGGAAATACTTAATCTTTTTAAAATGTACATAGGATGAATTAGATAACTAAATGACTAGCACAATTCCTCTGCCTCCTTACTCTTAAAAGTAGGGGTGGTTCGTTATGGGATACCGAACCGAAACTAGTATCCCGAATCCCAAACCGAAAATTTTCAAAACGGGAATTTGAATACCAATCCCAAACCAAATTTTCGGGAATCCCAAATTTTGGGAATCCCGAAATATTTTTGGGATTTCGAGACAAATCGGGAATCCCAAATTAAAATGTGAAATTATGATTTATTCTTCAAATATATAATTCAAGAACACATTCATGAACTAGGAATGTCATTTCATTCACACTACCATTTAATCGAACATTGGCATGACTGACTGTTTTTATCAGTGTCAAAATTCAAATTAATTAAACCCTTTTGGCAATCTGTTGAGAGACAAAAGAATCAAGCCTTCTGAAATCATCAGCCATGACAACAACAATAATAAAATCCAAATGAATATCAAACAAAAAATGAAAAATATGCAAGGTGTAGGGCATTCCAGGTTGTAGAGCATGAATTAGAAACTACTAGCATCAATTATAAAAGAATAATATATATAATATATATGTATAAATATACATATATAATAATTAATAATATGTATTTTCAGTTTGGTATGGGATTCCCAAAATATCGAGAAGCCAATCCCGAATCCCGTACCGAAATTTCGGGATCGGTTCGGGATAGCATCCCGAAAATTTCAGGAATTTCGGTTTGGGAAATTTTTGGTTTGGGATCGGGAATTTTTCGGTTCGATTTGGGATTTTCGGGAATTTTTTCCACCCCTACTTAAAAGTCTTAAATTTGAAACCCCATAAATTAGAATAATCTTAAATATCGTATTGTCGAAAAATGAGCCGAGTTTTTTTTTTTTTTTTTTTTTTTTGTCAAACGAAAGATTTTGTTAGATTAGCAACCGACGGAGTTCGAATTCACGTCGTTATGTAAGAGCTCAACTCCTTTTCACCACCGTGGTAAAGAGCCACTTGCGGAAAATGAGCTGAGTTGGGTGAAAAGGAAAGAACTTATGATTTTCTATTATTTTGGTAAACAAAGAGCTTGGGATTAATAAAATAGAATGCCCGATATTAAGAGAAACTCTTTCGTCGGAACATCAGACAAGACCAAAAGAGAGAGATGAGTCAAATAATGGCGCATGGGTGAGCCTCAATTTTGGAGGGGTGAGTCATGTGAGTTTTCTGAAGTGTGTACGTTAAGAAACCGATGATCTAGACAGCAGATACTAGAATTTCTCTGATATTAATAAAGGGTAGAGCCCTTGAAGTGAGAGGGAACCACTGGATGTGAAGGTGGGTTTGGTTAGAGATGATGATATTGTAGCCCCAAGTTCATGATTTTGATTTGCATACTTTGTGATGTTGCAAAGCGCCACGAAACGGGCATAAAAAATGGAATATGATGGCGTCGGTTGTCGGTGATAATCTTTCTTGTGATGCCGATAATAACAACTCCACGAGATACAAAGTCAACAGACATGAACAGATAAATATCGTCATCAGTTCAGTGAGGGAATAGGTAATAGGTAATAGGTAACAGGTCATAGGTGGCGTTTGAAATTTATGGGGATTTGAAAGAATCCAAGGGATTAAGGCCCTTCCACTTCCATGTGTTTGGTTCTAAATATATGATTGAATAATTGCTATGATTGCAATTTTGCTACGTACCAAATATCTATTAATTTGACCAAGTAGTATTCAACTAAAAGTAAGAGATGATCTTCGTAGAATTCTCATTGTGAATAAGAATTTTAGGAATCTTTTAATTAAATCTGTTTATCATATGTTATGTAATAATTTTCGTCAGATACTGTTTATATTTAATTTTAAATAAAAAATTTATAATAATTTATGACCGCATAATATATGATGATCCGAAGTAATATGAGGATTCTAGAAATCCTCACAAAAGGATCCGGCGAGTTTCCTTACTATTCAAAAGTTATGATTACCAGGATTGAGTAAACAATGACACGTGCCCGATGCAAAGTGGGTCAATGGGATCAACCAGCAGCTGCAAGTCTAGGAGAAAGATATATATGAGGAGAGGAGAATATTTGGCTTTTTATATTTAAGGTCTTTTCTGTTTTACCCGCCCAACGTCATTTTTTCAATAGGTTGAATCGTTCAAAACTCAGAATTTCAACACTTGATCACATCGGTAGTTAAGACCGAACTTTCGTCTTCAAACGACTTAACATGCCAACACCTCGAAACTCTGTTTTCGAAAGGTTGTTAAAACCTAAGAAACAAAGCTACTTGTACCAGAAGTCATAACCTGCATCTAATCACACTTCATTTTCAAGTAATATTTTTGTTCGCCATTATAATTATAGTGTATGTTCATCATGCATCTAATCATCGTGTTTTTTTACTTGACTCTAGTTAACTTTCCTATTAAATGTTATTTTTTGGATTTTGAAAAAATTTAACTAAAATTAAATGAAATGACACGTAACAAATGATAAGTGTATTATAAACATACAACATAGTTTATGATTATGAGTAAAAATGCTCCCTTTTCTTCTGCACAAGCTAAAAGCACCATTAGAACACCAAAAACATGTTTGGTAAACATAGACAGAAGCACTTTTGAGATAAAAAGCTTTTATTATTTTATTATTTTAAAAGCACTTCTACACACAGACCATTTCAATATCACTGCGGTATGTAACCCTGCATTTATCTCTAGTTACATAGCTTTACTAGCCAACTTAGGAAATCAACCGAAGAATGGTAATTATTCCTCTTGACAATTTAAATATAAATGAAATAAAAGGATTAAATTAACAAATGGTACTGCTATTCACACGTCTCTTTTTTACCTTCCAACACCTTTGTTAATTTATGTCTATTGAATCATCTTCAATTCAATCAACCCGACAGCCGAAAATTAAGAATAATGTGTGAGAAGTAAAAACAAGTACGTAGACAACACCGACCTTAACAAATGGAGTACAATAGAAAAGAAACAAGAAGCAAAATCAGCTTTCATTAATGACACTCTTTAAGATTGTTACATTTAAAGCGATATATAGAATATATAAACTGATTTTGTTGTTAAAAAGCAACATATGATCTCAAACAATAACGCTAATCGAGAGCAAATCCAAACTAACAAAAAAAAAAATATAAGCAGGAACAGCACCTCAAGATCTCGACGTAAGATACCATAGCTCCCTCCTCTCGTGCATCAAAAGCAAAATTTAATTCCCACAATTTCGTACAAGAATAATTTGTACTAATGTACATAAAACCTCCTACAAGGGGATGGGAACGGGCGACGTACCGAGCCACTTGATAAAACCCCGCTCCGAAGAAAAATCATTCCCGATTGCCACAGAAAATGTCACCCCAAACAGAGCAAATGAACAAAAGGGAAACACTGCACCGACATCACGGTCTGTTTGAAT